CACGGGGCATGCCAGAGGGAACGATATCGAGGGACGTGACGGGTCCAGACGGCTAGCACTTGACGAGACTATCGACATCGTCCTAGTCGAGGGTCTCTCCTCACCAGGCACCTTGTCCCCCGCAACAGATCACTCAGGTATGCCCTTGACCGACCTCGACTCGGCTACGGATTACAACCAATGCACGGTACTTTCCCCCAAAAGCTGCCTGTTGCCCCCTCTCTGTTTGTGCTGCGGGGGAGTGAGCACTGGATAGGTACCAAGACAGAGCGCCGTCGTCGTGGCACGGAATTACTCCCAAGGGAGGAGGTCGAGGGCGACTTGGACCAGTACCAGTGGAACCCGTACAGGCAAAGACAACAAACAGGCATAGCGAAATGCATGGTCGACCACATTTGGATCCTCTTTCCCCCCTTTGAGCAGCGACTATTTCCCCTCCTTAACCAAGGGGTGGCCCTCAGGCTTCGGCCAATACCAGAGGGGGAAACGCGGGAGGCCTAAGTTGGAATGCTGTAATGTCGTGTCTGCGTCGCGCTTGCGCGCGACCATTCTTGGTGTGCGCTGTTCGGTGTGTGACACATGAAGTGATTGCCAGCGGCGACGCCTGTCGTTGGTCATCGCTGGTACTGGTGCTCGGTTCTCGGGACCTGAAGTATCTTTGCTCCAAAAAAACCATCCGCGCCCAGCTCCTCTGACTGCCTGGTCTCATCGTAAAATGGACGATGAGAGGGTAACGCCAAGGTCAAAATGGCCCCAACATCCTGACTACCTAAATTAGGCAGGCAGGCAGCCCAAGGGTCTGCTCCAGGGGTCGTGCACGCCCCCAACCCCCTAACCGCTCGCTCTCAGCAGCCTTAGGTGGAGGTGCCCAACACCAACACCACCCTTCGATGCTACTGCTTGCCTAGGTACCGTAGGGTAGAAGGCACCTCTTTTGGTACCTTACCTATAGGCAACGCAAGAACGAACTATACAGCAGGCTCGCAACCCTTTCTTGCTCCCTTCCTTTCCCTTGCTGTGCCCCGTTATCTGCTTGCCTCAACTCCACAAACGGCAGCATGTAGCAACAGCACCGGGTCTGTGTGTAGTAGATAAAGTCTGCCAACAAGCTATGAGGGCAACCCGTCATCGTCATGCCCACTGCTAGATCATCAAACAACGACTTGTGCCAAAGATTGAACCCCAGATCCATCTTCCTTGCAAGACCCGACGTCTTCCCGCACGCGTGCGCCCCCGTCAGCTCCCCCGCTCTGCAGACCTTCTCCTCGAGGTCCAACCCCGGACAGGCCCACTGGGGGACGTTGTTCCAGTGTTTCAGCTTCCCGACGCCGCGATGCCTTTCCTGCAACGGCCTTTTGGGCTGGGGGTCAAGAAGCACGTCAGCCCTCGCCCTCTGACAACTGGATCATCGCCAATGGCTGGCTCGTGCCGCCGAACGCAGAACACGCTGCACGTGGCCGACTGGGCTTCGCCCCATCCATCCATCAAACGAGCATAAAACAACCGTTTGTAAAACGCTTCACGGATGGCTGACACGACACGCTCAGCACGAAGCTCATCTTAACCCAGGACATATCGTGTTTGCTTTCTGCCTCCGCTTTCGATGCCCATGGCAGCTCAGTCTTGTTGCTTTGCTGCCCGTGTTCACCGTCAGTCACCTATGAGCCCCATCTATCCTTATTGAGACGCGGGTACGAGACATCTCCAGGTTTGAAAGTCGGCGGTACTACGCATGAAAATCTGCACGACCTCAGGGAGCTCCAATCAATATTGTCTGCACTCGCTTTGGCGGTCTCGGCCAGTAGTAACGGTGTCTCCGCTGTGCATTTGCGCCAAACAGAGCCCTTGATTCACAAGCCTTGTTTTCATCGGCAGGAGGAGGACGAGGAGAGGAGGAAGAAAAGGAGAATGTGGGTTGTTGTCGTCACGAGCC